CTCAGATACGTTCCAGATACAGATACCATTCTGGTGTTCCTTCTCCTGATTTTCAACAAACAGTCTTGGATGGCATCTCCAAGCCCATATCCAGCAAGATTCTACCATCTCCAAATGGCATCTTTAAGCCTATTCCCTCATTTACATTTTGACGAGTGCAAATTTACGGGCACTCTAGTGTCCAATCATCTTTTACCTTCGAGTCACGAAAGGCAAACTCGCCAATCTAACTCTTCGGGTTCAAGAAGATTGAACAGGGGCAACTATTGTACCCAAAAATTTTCCCTCTTATTTTATCAAGATTTCCCCTCACAAGACTCTTTGAACTCAAGACCAAGCTAGGGTTTGCTCTGCTCAAGATATCTTCTTGCACTGATGACCTGAAATTAGGGTTTGAGTTTGCACAAGGATTTTTGAACTTTAAATGCTCAAAGTGACTTTCATACTTCATGTTGGACTTATAAGATTGCCTCTACCAAGTTTCAAGCCTTGAATCAAATTTTTGCCCAATCAATTTGACAATTGACCTAGAAATCAACTGTATTGGGGAAAAAGTCAATTGTGGCCAATTTACAGTCAAACCTCATAATTTTTTTATCCACGTCAATATTATAAACTCATATGAACCATTTGATCAAGTTTGGACCATAACTCCTCAAGAAATTTGATCAGATCATCAAAATGGCAAAATGGTCATTTTTAGGGTTTTGACTACAGAAGGACAATTTCTGATTTTTGACCTAGCCAATGGAAAATTGAGTTCAAGCATGGATTCAAGGGCTCAATGGCATCATATTGACCTAATCACAAGGTTCAAAAGATCTCAAATGCATTGGATTGACAGATGAATTTTCTAGTCAACTGATCAAAAATTGACTGTACACTGAAAAGTCAAACTTTGACTTTTTGGTCAAAATCAAATGCCAAGGGTCATTTTTCATCAAGATGAGTAAAAACATGAAACTTGTTCATCAAGAAACCTAATTTTTCAAATTAAGGTTTAAAGTTGAAAATTTTCATAACTTAGAATTTTTCTAAGTTATGAAATTTTCTTATTTTTTCCCAATTTGCCCAACATTTTCACCATGATGCAATTGGATTCAAACAAAACTTCCAACATGAAAGTTGTAGTCCTCCACAAAATCTACCACTTTTATACACAAAGTTTTCCCAAAAGAAGTTTGGATCTCAAGTTATGATTTTTGGAACAAGGGTACATGAAACTTTTAACTTAGTTAAATTTTGCCCTAGTTTAGACAAGATTTTGACCTATCTTCATGACCATTTTTTACATAGTTCCACTTGGAATATCAAAATGAATTTCAAAGATGGATTTTAGAGCATGTTACAAGCTTTCCAAAATGTCCAAGAACTCTCCAAAATCATTTATGGTTAGAGAGAATCAAAGGTTTGAATTTGGAAAAAACTCACTTTTGATCCATGGCATTTTCATGTTGGCACAAGTTGCAAAATCTGTCCAACTTTGCTTTGTAATTGATTACAGGTCTCTAAACCCTTCCACACTAAAAATCTGAATGCAAACTCATTGGTTTAAGGCATTATTCTGATCAATGGAAGTTTACACAAGAGTTTAATCCATTTTTGGCAAAAAGTGAGCAATACCATTTACATAAAGCATGCTTTATGTCAAATTGTATTTCTTGAGCCATACACCAAGCATTTTACTGCAAACAAAGCTCCCTAATGTCAGGTAAAGTTCAACCACTTTGAGCAGCTAGAGTACAAGCCAGTACAGCCATAGCATTGTCAACTCTCACTTTTACTTCAAAATCAAGTAAACTTGCAAGAGACCCACAACTTGAGTATTTGTTATAACCAACTCTTGTAAGCATTTGAAACAACTTTTGCACATTGCCTTGAGCCAGAAACACGATCTATCCAACCCTCAAACCTTCCAAAACACAAAAACACCTCCCTCTGGCAAAACAGGGCAGCTTCTGCACTTTGAGTTCCATAACAAAAACTACTCGTGCGTTTTTCCCCAAACCTGTTCCAATACCTTCCATATAACCCACCTGAGCTATCCCAACCACTGGCCATTGACTGTAACTCCATTTGCAAGCTTCACCATTTCTGTTTTCAGCTTGTGCAAGTTGACTTCTACAAGCTTATTCAAGCAAGTACAAAGCAAACTAAGCATTGAGGAAGGTCAGAGGAAGTTCAGGCAAGCTCCCAAGCATCTTAGGTCTCACTGAAAAGCTCCACATTGCCATACACGAGTTCAACTGAAATAGGTATTTTCCAACTTCCTATCTCTCTATTTAGGAATCATTAGGCTTAGGTTTGTGAATAAAAAATGTAGTACTCATAGCCCTTAAGTTGTACATATGCATAGATTTCATTTAAGTTAAGTGTGCTGAGAGAATTTGATTGATGAACTTCCTGAAAAAGTTAGGTTAAAAATTAGGGCCAGAGAAATTCTCTCTGGTCTTTGAGAGTTAGATTAAGTTCTTTATATGGTTGGAATCGTCTTGAAAAATGCTATGACTTTGGTGTTATGAGTTTTTGCTTTAGAGCACGTATGCAGGATTTCCAGATTTTGTACACAGGCGCGTGTTTTTGTGATTCAAAGGTTGAAGATGAAGCTGATATGGGTTGGGCTTGGCCATGGCTTGCTTTTGACACCCCCATTTCTGTTATTTGCACCCCTTGGCCCATTCCATTATATTTTTATATTTTTCTATTTCTTTTTCATTTCTGATTTTATTTTATTTTTTCTAAACATAAAAAATTACCAAAAAAAACATTTTCATAAACTTTCACATTTTATTTTATTATTTTATTATTTTTTAGACATAAAAATAATTATTAAATAGTATATACTTTTATTTTCTTTAATAAAAAACTTGAAAATAATACATAAAAATATTATATTTTTATTTTTATTATTTACATACTTAAATAATATTTTTTCTAATATATTTTTATTTTTTGACATTTGTATATATTTTATTAGTTTATTGTACATAAATAATATAATTTATATATATATATATATATATATATATATATATATATATATATATATATATATATATATATATATATATATATATATATATATATATATATATATATATATATATATATATATATATATATATATATATATATATATATATATATATATATATATATATATATATATATATATATATATATATATATATATATATTCTTAAAATAAATTAGGGTTTTTACCCTTAATAAAAATAATCTTTTATTTTATTATTTTTAATGCATTAAATAGTTTATTTTTACATACATATAAAAATAAACAAAAAAATATTTTTTACATATTTATAATATATTGCATATTTATTTAATTGTCTATTTAAATATTGCTTATTCATCATTTGTACAAAAAAAATTCAATTTGGTTGTAATAATTTTAGGATTTTAATTTCTTGCAAATAATCCCCTATTCAAAATTGTATCCCCCTCCCCATATCAAGTTGTAATAGCTTAGATTTATTTTTACGCACTTTATGCTATCAAATATGCCATGATAGAGATTAGAGTTTGTATGCAATATCCAAAATCAAAACAAATAGTTAGACCTAATGCAATACATAAATGCATGAAAATGATAACACAATGCACACATGCACCCCTAGGGTTTCATCCACTTGTTGCCTTTAAAATGGCCATGTTATACATGTTGAGTATCTTGACAAAAAAAAACAAAAACAAAACAAAAGATCATAGTCCCTCGATGACGCTATCTTGGTTGCCTATACAAAATGATCTAGTCCCTCAAAAAATTGCTAAAGATACCTAGCACTATTGCTATCATGGTCAATACGATGACCCGCGCCTGTCCCGTTTAACATCCAAACACAAGATTGTTTACCAAATACAATGGTAAAACAACACTGTCAAAAGGGTTAAAAATGTGTAGGAAAGATCCTTGAGTAGATAGGGTAGACAACTCTTAGTTACTTGATTAAAACTTGCAAAAACATCCTTGCTATTTTCAAACACACATCACAACACAATTTCAAAACATTTCCCAAAACAAACTTTCAAACATTGAAACATCTTTTCAAAAGACAAACACCTTTGTATATATTCAAACAAGAATCATTACAAAGGTTGCCACAACGATGGCCTCTTTTCAAAATATTTTCAAAACCACACACAAAGCATCATTTCAAACAATTGAAAAGCAAAAGCAAATGATCTAAACAAGTAACTAAGAGCCCATGGATAACCATGGATGAAAATGGTGTTTGCACCTTCCCTTTTCATAATCTACCCCCCGAACCCAAGAAAACATCTCAAAGGTATTTCCTGTGCTTTTTGACCTTTCCTTTGGATAAAATAAAAATTCGGTGGCGACTCTTGCTAAACCGAAACATTTGCGAATACAAATGCAAAACCTCAAGTCAGTTCTCCCACCGTATCACAGTAAGCAATAATACTAAAGAAGGTTTGAAAGCTGACTGACAATGGGAAGCTTTTATTCAAAACTCTTTGTCCTCTTCTCTCAAGCACTCCTCAAGCCTCTGCTTGGGGAAGTTTAATTTGGAGCTCTTATATTCCTCCATCAAACTCTTCATTATTTTGGAGATTGATTTATAATCCTCCAATGCAGTTTTTAAGGGGAAATTGTCCACTAAAGATAAACATTTAATGTGTTATCCCAAAATTCAAAGGAAAATAAATAAATTAAAATATAAAGAGATACATAATAAAGTTATCATAAAACGAATAGTACTTTTTTAAAAGAAATTTTAATTTAACTCTAAATCATATTTTTAACTGTGATGGAAGCACGTATAAAGAAGAGCATAGAAATTAAATCCATTGATGGCATAGTAATGTTTGGATGAAAAAGAACATAAAGTTTACTCTATTAAAAATTAGGAAATCTAACAAAAGAAACAATAATAACAACCGTACTAGTCCTGAAAGAAGCATTACATATAACTCAACACCAGAAGAAGAAGAAAATTAAACAATACTCTTAGCCATCCTCACTCTTTAACATCTTCATCCTTCTTCATTTTCGAAACCACTGTCGAATTCTTCAGCTCTTTACTTTCTTCAATTTCTTGTGACTCATTACTATTGAGTAAAAGGTATAACTTTTCATTAACCCTAAATGACCAAATGTCAAGTTTTTGATTTTCTTTAAAATTATTCTCCAACAAAACAGGTGTCCAATCTTGATGAAGAATATAAATACTAGTAGTCTTCATGTTCCACTTCTTCAAAAACAACGAGAATTCATTAAAACAAGGATCTAACACAGTCACTTTTATACCAATCGGTTTTCCTTCTTGATCCCTTGTTTTCAAGGTTGCCTTTTCTATTTCTGTGAGGAAATCAGATTTGATTTGTGTAATTGGCATTGAAAGACGATTGAGATAATAGTTGAGATCTGATTTAAACAATTCCTTACACATGATATATTTAATATCACTACCATTCAACACTTTGATCATGTTATTAACCTGACTAGGAAATTCTGGTGGCGGTGACAACAAAATTTCTTTTCTGCGAATTATTAGTTTCCTCCTAATTGCTGATTTTGGTTTCACTCTTCTACCTTCATCAAAGATGATATCTTTATTACTTGGACAACAGCTTTTTTCATCATTGACTTCTACTCTTTTCACATTACTTTGTAAAATAAGAGAAAGATTTGTTTCTTCACTCAAAATGCGATTGATTTTCTCAATTTGTGTTAACTCATCTTTAGTATAAAATTGTGGAGAAATTTGAGATAACACTCTATGCAAAGTAAAATGAGGTCATGGATCAAATTTCTTTTCCATTGTTTTCAACTTTTGCATATATGCATTGATCTTCTCAATAGCCATAGCTTTCTTTTGCAACATCACTTCCGGATTTTGTAAAACTGCAGTATTCTTTTTCATGGACATTGATTTCTTTTCTTTCTCGGTATTGTGTTGATTACGTGTTTGTGATTTTAAGTATTTATTAAATGTGTATTTATAATTTACGAAGATTTAAAATTAAAAACTAAATCATATAATATCTTATTATATATTTCAATTTTCTTATCATATGAAGATTTGATACAAAAATTTAGATCATTCTGTTACAATGAATTTATTTGGTTCGTGACCATTCAAAAGCGAAAACAAAAATTCCGTCGAGCTATTTTTTTAATTTTAAAATAATGATATATCCAAAACATAAAATAAGACTAGTTTGTTTATTTAAATCTTTTGGTTAGATTTGTGTGGAAAAAAAATATTTTGGTTACATAATTTCTGTATATATTTCATTTCACCTTTTATAATAGGCTAAATTTTGTTTAAAAAAAAAAATTTGATGTAAAATCTTGATCAATCATTGTATATATAAAAAGATTTGATACTGATGATTCGATTCAACATCTTATAAAGTTACGAAACAAAATCAATCCAAAATTTAAAATAAATATTAATATTAATATTTAATAAATTAATATATTTACTAAAATTTCTTTAAGTTTATTTCGGTATTTTAAAATTATAATTTTCTTTCATGTTTTTGGTTGTTTTTTTTTTTTTTTGATTTTCTCTATTACTTCTATCAATTTATTATAATTATTTTTTATCTTAAAATTATTTTTTATTTTTTTATTTAATACAAATTAAAATCACTATAATTTTTATTTTATTTTTATTTTTATAGTTGTTTATGTTAGTTTTTTTAATTTTTTTATGTATTCTATTTCTATTTTATAAAATTTTAAAGCATTTATTTTTTAAAATTATTTTGTAATATTATTATTTAATAATAAGTTATTTTATGCATTCAAAAGTTATTATCAACATATAATTTATTTTGTATCGGGAGTTATAATACGAATAAGTATACTCAATTTTTTTAACATTATGTGGTAAGTTATAACTTTTTAATCATTTAATACTATAAATTTTATTTCTAAAAAAATATTTATGAAATTTCCACCTTTGAATATCATATCACTTATTTAAAATCATAAGGATAAAAATGTAAATTAAAAATAAAATCCTTCATCTCCCCTCATGAACCAAACATATTTTTAATCAAAATTTCTTCCCACCCATCCTTTCCCCTCTTTTGAACCAAACATATATATAATTTTTTTTAAATCTCTCACATCCCCTCCCATTCCCTTCCCTCCATTAAAATTTCTCCTCTCCCCTCTTCCTCAATTGAACCAAACAGACCTTTAAGAGAATTGGTTTGTAATCCAAAAAAAGAGTAGCGGCACGGCTTATTGTCTGCGTGCCATCTATTTCTGTATTGACTTAATTTTTCATGAAAATAATAATAATTACTTATAAAAATAAAAATAAATATGATGATGATGATTGTTGTACCCAAAAATTTGCCCTCTCATTTCTCAAGAAATCTCTCATATGATCTTCATTGATTCGAGACTACACAAGGTTTGATAAGCTCAAGACACTTCCTCAAACACTGACAACTCAAAATTAGGGTTTTAGTTTTTACAAATATAATTGAACTTCTAATGCCTTATATGACTTTCATGGATCATTTTGGATCCCCAAGATTGCTCATGTCAAGTTTTAAGCTTTGGATCACATTTTTGCCCAGTCAGTTGATCGGTTGACCTAAAATCAACTATATTAGGGAAAAGTCAATTGTGGTCACTTTACAGTCAAACTTCATAATTTTTTATCCATATCAACATTATCAACTCATATATGTCAATTGATCAAGTTTGGATCACAATTCCTCAAAGAAATTTGATCAGAACACCAAAAGGGCAAAATGGTCAAAATTAGGGTTTTGATTGAGAAGGCTCAGTTCTTGACTTTTGACCAAGAAAATGACTTATTGGTTTAAGACATGATCTCAAGGATTCAAATGCACCATCTTGACTTAATTTCATAGTTCAAATCAAATCTCAAGATCATTGCATTGACAGATGAATTTCAGTCAACTGATGAAAAGTCAACTGTACACTGAAAAGTCAAACTTTGATTTTTTGATCAAAATCAAGTTTCAAAAATCATATTTCATCAAGACATGTCAAATTTTTTCATCAAGACACTGAAATTTTGTCAAAATATTATAGAGAGGTAAATAAAAATATATATTACAGGGAGTAATTTGTGCACTTAGGGGGAAAAAGAAATAGAATTTTAACATTTCAAGAGAGTGATTCAAATTTTTTTTATAGAAGGTAAAGCAAATTTTGCCTACATTACAGGAGGTATTGTATATATATATATATATATATATATATATATATATATATATATATATATATATATATATATATATATATATATATATATATATATATATATATATATATATATATATATATATATATATATATATATATATATATATATATATATATATATATATATATATATATATATATATATATATATATATATATATATATATATATATATATATAACTCAAGCTCTAGATAAATATCAATTAAGAACTTTAAAAAAAATTGAGTAAGAATAATTTAGGTTATTATAATTAAATTCTAAATATAGTTGTGTGTAATCAAATCTTTTGAGTTGTAAAAAAATTATAATTATTTGGGTTTAACTTTTTTAGGTAAAACCTTCTATTTCTTTTGAGAAACCAAAAAATCTCAACTCAATATATAGGTATTATAATATTTTCTATGTTATTTTTCATGAATGTAATTCATTGTGTGTGTCTTACTTGTAATACAAGTAATATTTTATTAATAATATAAATTTTGTTTTAACTAAGTTGTTATGGATTTATTGGTTATTTGAAGTGTAAGTAACAATTACATATACCCTTGTATTGTGATTATTCAAGTCAGTGCAAATATATTTTATTCTCTTATTCTCAATCTCCATCTCTTCATTCAATTCATTCAATCTCATAAAAGGTGCAAAGTGTGTGTGAGTGATAATAAAGTTTAAGCCAAGCGTGTGTATCATGTATGCGTTTTGTTCAAGTTTGAGTTTTGTCGAACATGTGATATCTACAGCTTCTGATCCGATTTTTAGGGTGATCTTGAACAATAACCTCTCATCCAAATGGTCACTTCAAGATAAATCTTCACATTCTAAATGGAAAAAAAAATGATAATGTGTGTAAGCAGATGAAAACAATGTTTTGCTATCAAAATGTGTGGGATCTTGTGAAGAATGGTGTCACACCAATTAGTTATTATGCCAGAGATGATCATAATAATGTGCATAAAGAATTGAAGAAGAATGATTATAAAGCTCTCTTTATAATTCACCAGTATAGTTTCTTTTGTTTGGATACATTAGGTAAAATAACATATATACACGATGTATTTTAGGAAACATATGGAACAAGATGTTCTACCATGTGTTCTAACATCTAAGTATGATTGTGTTTGTTGTTAATAAGAGTTGTTCAGATAATGTTCTTGAAAAAATAATTATAAGCAAGAGGTTCCAATATGCAGCTAAAGTGCTTGACATAACTAGTTAAGCAATGGGTTCAACATGAAGCTAAAATACTTGACAAAACTTGTTAAGCCAGAAGTTCAACATATGATTGTGTATCATCTTGGCATAAGGTTTGAGTTCTGAGTATCTTCAGATATTTCCTTCAAAAGAGTTGTGGTGCTAACTTCTTCAGAAGATGCTAGAAGTTTGTTTTTAGGAATAAGTTTGTGTTTTTAATCCAAAACCAATTTGGATATGATTCAGTCTAAGAAGATTTGGCTGGATGTACCTTGAAGGAAGATTTAGTCCAATTATTACTCTGCGAAGAAGATGTATATGAAGATAGTTAAATTACATAATATAGTGTAACACGTGGAACACGATGTTCCAACATATGCATTGTAACATTTGGTCTCTTACAACAGACAAATGGCTTTGTAGTATTGATTCTGATTTCATCTATCCAAGATTCATCCCACAAGAAGATCTACAGTTCATGGAGAAGAGTTAATTTGAATTACTGGTGCAATATGTTGAACACAGTGCTTTAACATATGTGTAGTGCAACATCTGACCCTTGACAATAGGCCATTATGGATGTTGCTTGGTGCGATATTTTTGATTGAGATTCAATTGGATTTGTTACAGATTATTTAGAAGTGTTTGTGAGATTTATTTAACAACTGCTAAAGATCAAATCATATTTAAATGGAGATTTAAATTTGAATTTTAAATATAACAAATCGTATCTTTTGTTGGATATTTTTATGGAGCAAATCAAATCCAACAATATTTGCAATTATTCTGGACAAATATCCAAGAAGAAAAATCCCAAAAGACATTGCTATTTAAAAAAGACTCAAACCTCATGTTTGAGGTGTGCATGCTTTGAAGATTACTTGTGTTAGGGTTTATCTTTTAAGTCTTTGCTTATGTTATTTTTGTGCACCACTCTAGCACC